GAAGGAACAAAACAGCAGACTCACAGAACCCAAGAATGGACTAACAGTTACCAAAGGGAAAGGGACTGGGGAGCATGGCTCGGAAGGGTGGGATATGGGTGGGGGAAGAAAGGGGGCATAACGTTAGCATGTATAATGTGTGTGGGGGGCACGGGGAGGGCTGTGCAACACAGAGAAGACAAGTAGTGATTCTACAGCATCTTACTACGCTGATGGACAGTGACTGTAATGGACTTTGTGGGGAGGACTTGGTGATGGGAGGAGTCTAGTAAACATAATGTTCCAAAAAAATGTTAATGTAAGCATGTAAGAAAAAGAATCCCTGTTAATAGTTATTTCATTAAGTGATGTTATCAGAGTGGAAATAGGAGAAACAACCTGTCGTCTTCCCCTAGCCCGGATGTGCTTTGAATCATCTAGCTTGGTTGGTTCACCTCAACAGAAAAAGTCTCTAAGTCAAGAGTAAGAGGAAGTAAAGAGTTATATTAATGGTAAAATATATTCTAGTCTGGAGAAATGCATTGCTTGGTGAAAGTAGGTTTAATTTTTACATAAAAAACAGATTTCACAAATAACCAATACTTCATGACTATGTGAATAATTATATACTTACAATGGTAAATATTGGGTACCCAGAAGAAAGCAGAGAACATCTAGAAAGCCTTCCCTGCTGGCTAGTGGTCCTCACTGTATTTTCTTCAGGTTCAGAATTTGTGTTATTTTAGTCTAGGAGGAGGACATAGCGTTGTAGGAGGTTTTGAGCAAGAGGCAAGACTCCGGTACTTTGTGGATTGTTATCACCCTGCAAGACGCTTCGCAACTTCCTCTCGCCGCCCACAGCAGAATACGGAAACCCTGCTGTATCAGGCCACTTCTGCAATTACAGACAGTCACAATTGAAGGGGATCCTTCTTTCACACCCTCTGTTTTGAGACTTTCTTTGCATTTGAAAATGTGCTTTTTGTGCTGGAATGCCCCACTGAGCTTTCACCTCTCCCCTCTCTTTGCTGCCCTGCAGTGCTGCAGTTGAAGCTCCAGCAGCGCCGGACTCGGGAAGAACTGGTGAGCCAAGGGATCATGCCTCGTAAGTACCACCCTCTCGGCATCTGATAGAGCTGCTTTTCTGACATGGTTGTGTGTGCCCCGCATGCCATGGGAAACATCTAACAGAAAACAAGGGTGGCACATTTCATTTTTCACTCTTCCTCCTCATGCTTTTCCATTTTCAGAGACTCTCAATCACTGGTAGTTAAGATAAGTGACTTAATTGATCAAGTTGAGTGAAACAAACAGCATTCAGTTTAACAGTGCCATTGAATCATTCTTAGCCCTTGAATTACACCTTTAAAAGGGTTTGTATGCCCTGTTACACTTCCCTTTATAGTAGGAGCAGATCTTGATGGGGGCACTGCAAGGAAGAACCCACTTGTATATATTTTGGCTTAGTGTTCAGGTTTTTGGGAAGAGAAAACCCTTTCCCACCTAGTATTTTGAATCAACTACAGTTTTATTTAGAAGGAGCCCCTCAGATACCCTAAAGTTGGTGTGAGTGTGAGTGTACTTGATGGGGTTATCATGGGCAGTCACAGTGGGGGCATACCGCATCATCCAGGGCGGAACGAACCAACCTTGAAATCTGTTAGAAGGAGGAAAGCTTGTTTTTGACTCCAGCAACCTGTAAAATGAGTGGAAGCTGGAGCCAGTAAGGTTTTGCTCTTTTTGACATTTCTTTTTAAGTCATCAGCAGAGAGCTTAGGCTCTCTCCCTCTTCTTTCTTCTCTCTTATATGTTACTGCCACTTGGATATACCCTAATGAAGTAAAAAAAATAAGTCGTACAACAACTTCCGGCCTCATACTGGGAGAACTGACATTTTTCACCTTAACTCAATGCCTGCTGACCTACTGCCACTGTCTTTTCCTGACTCTCATTCACTCATTGATTCAGAACATTTGTGTACCTAATGTGTGCCCACTGATACTGTAAGATAAATAAAGCTCCTGCGTAAGGAATTTTATATTTAGAAGGAGATTACTGATAATTAACAAGGAAGCAAATAAGGTAATTTCAGAGTATGGTAAGTGCTATGAAGTAAGTTAACTGGTTGGTGTGTTAACAAGCAATAGGAATGAGGTGGAGTCACTTTGGATAAGATGTGCAAGAAAGGCCCTCACTGAGAAGGAAATGTTTGAGCTCTGAGGGAGGAGTTGGGGCCAGCCATTTGGGAGAGGAAGTGCGCCCAGGGAGAAGGGACAGTGAGTGTAAAGACGTAGTGCAGGTAAGAGCCCAGCACGTCTGAGAACATCAAGGAGGCCAGTATGGCCGGGGCCTGGTGACTGAGGAGAGATTGGCAAGGTGGGTGGTGCTTATCAGCCACACGGAGGAGGTGGATTTTATTTTAAGTACAGTGGGAATCGTTTGAAAGCTTTTAAGTAAGTGAGAAGGAATTTGACTTATGTTATTACCATGGCAGGTCCATTTTAAGAGCTAGAACTATATAGCAAGTAGAAGGAGTCTAAGATCTCCTTTCTGTCTATTTAAGCAGCAATCAGGGGTGTAAGTACCAAATTCATCTTTTTGTGTACTGCAGTACCTACCAACCCATTTACGCACATTATACTATCTTCTGCTCTGGTGTTCCAGTGAAGGACTCCCCACTCCAGCCCTTAAGGTGTCAGAGCAGATGGCTTGTGCAATGGATCTGTAATGTGATCAGGTAGGGCAATGTTGTACTTCACAAAACTCTCCAGATCTGCCAATCTGTAAACCTTTGCAGAAGAACTTGCTATCCAGAGTCTCATCGACTCGTCCCTTTCACGAAGGACATCGTGCACTTGGTGCCTGCTCTGTACCAAGGGTTGTCCTAGATGCTATAGATTAAGGAAATAAAAGCCCCAGTACCTGCTCACAAGACATTTAACAGTTTATTTGGGTAGCTAAAATTTACTCATACTCAGAATAAAGAACGATTCAGGGCTAATCCAGGGGGTGCTGACTGCAATTACAGTATTAGTTCTGAGATTGTAATGCTGCTTCTCCGGATCTGTAATATGCTCAGAATCTAAGAGCCATGGAGAGGGGAGTGCCCTGCATTCTTCTTCCTGCCTGTGATTGGATACTAGGGGATACTGGAGATCACTGTTGAATAGGATTTAACAAGTAGTCTCCTTGCTTGGCATTTCTTGCAATTTTCCACATTGTAAAGACAAGTAATGCTTCAGTTATTACAGCTTATATGTTTGCCTCTCCGAGTAGACTGTGAACTCCTTGAGAAAGTATCATATTTATATTTCTATCACCAGTGCCTGGCACTGATTGAAAGACAGACAGTTATAAAGTGTGATGAGTGTGGTATATGTGAATGACACACAAACAGAAACAGACACTCCTATGTTGCAAACTTGTTGGACTTCTGGGCATGGAATTTGAAACAATGCACCTGTTTTTTCAGGAGCCCAGGTTCTAAAATGTTCTGAATATCTAATGTATACTTTGGGTTGTTCTCTGTATCTTTGAGGTGACAAAAATTGCTCTTCCTGTAGTAATACAAATGACGTGCTTCTGTCATCTTCCTTCATCCCAACAGTTGCTTTCAGCTATAGACCCAGTCTTCATTTCCAGCTTTTCTAGCAAACTATCTTAGAGTATGAGAAAGAATGTCAAGGCCTGGGAATAGTTTCAGATGTGAAATTCCCTGCTCATCAACATGTCGGGTAATACACAGACAGGATCCTGACTTCCCAAAATAAAGGCTAATTTTTTTTTTTCCAATCTCCCGCACACCATGAGTAACCCTACTTCCTCCTCGCAACACTGTGCCCACTACCCTACCTTCTATTGCAATCTCCAGCATCCTCTGCTTCCATGACAGCCCTATCACCTGCCGTCTTACCAGCCTTACTTCTCACCTTCTGCTCCACATCTTTCAAAGAGAATATGAGCAGTGCTGGGGCCTGTCGTAAATGAACAGCAAGATGATGTTGATTATCAGAGATTTGGAATCCTGAAAAAGTACCATCTGGTTTGATGTGCCCATTTCTATTCACACCTTGCTGGCCTGAGGAGTTTCTGGAAAGGTCATTTATATTTAAATTTCTTGTACAGCATAAGGAATAGGTAGGGCCCTCAAGCCAGTGGAAAAGGAGCTGCCTAGTTATGGCTATATTCTGCCTCATCATTTCTCTATTTGTATCTTTATTCACATTCTCTCATCCCAGTCTCTTTTCTAGTTCTGGGAAGAAAACCCACCCACCACATTGGTCAGAATAGCCACATGCAGTTCCCATGCAGGACTGGCTCCAGCTGTGACATCTTATCTGTAGGGCACAATGTCTGCAGTCTCCCCCTCGCCTTCAGGGTCCTTCATGTTTCCGCCTGTTATTCAAAGTTGAGGTATGGCTTTTCCATAAAGATCAGGAGATTAAAGAATCGCCCAGTTTGTATACCCCTCTCTCTGATATGCTCTGTTCCTGGCATCCAAACTGTGGGGTATAGAATTTGATTTCTGATGTATTTTTAAACAGGATCATATCCCAGAATCCTTCATCCTCATCATATAAGCATAAATATCAAATTTAACACTATTTAAACCCTACCAAACACAAAGTGCCAGATAGCAAAGGATTTACATATTCCAGGCCCTAAGCTTTCTTTAGTGATGTCTGAATCTGTGGATCTTGAGGGAGAGGAGAGATGGCACAGATAGGAAGCTGGTGTTCTAGTCCAAAGATTAAGACCAGGAATGCTGCTGTACGCAGAGTGAAGACTCCTAGGAGAGATGGGTCAGGTGAGGTGCACTGTGTCCTCAAACAAAGCTTCCCCCACAGCCTTTCTCTTTGACATTTAAAGGTGTACAAAGGCCATAAGCTTAGGGTGAAAATTAAGAATGTTCTGGCAGTGAGAGCTGCTGCAGAGGAAGAACCTTTTAAAGGGAAACATGGAAGTCCTGGCCCAGACAAATGAGAAAAAAGTGGCCTGTGATCTTTGAGATGAGAGAGGAACTTCTTTTGTCTCTTCTGTCTCAACCATTTGCAATTCTGTTGTGAATCCTTGAGAAAAGCACAGAGTGGCATGTTTCATTATTTTCCTGTGTGCATGAAGTACAAAAACCACAGTACCTTGGCAGGAGCATGAAGAAATCATTACTTTTGTCCTATGGATTCTCTAAAGACCTTGCTTCATTTCTTACATGAGCTTGTTTTTCATTTTAAATGGTGTTTCTGTGCACCCAGCCAATGCCATTGAATGTTGGGAGAATCCAGAGCGTGAGGGCAGCACAGCTCAGAGAGGGCATCCAGGTAGTGTCAACCCAGAGGCCTCTCAAACTACCTGGCTCCTGAAAGGTACTCAAACAAGTTGCTAAATGAAAAGTGAATAAATTGGCCAGCTGGTTTTCACTGGTTCATAGGTCTATAAGTAAGCCCTGTGTATCTCACACTGAAACTGAAAAGTGGCCTCATGTAATGAGTTCCCACAGCTCTGTATTTTTAATAAGCTTTCCCATTACTTGACTTCCTGGCCCTGCAGCTCTGTGGTTTGATTCCCTTGGCACGTGTGCTTCAGCTGTCAGCGTCAGCTAAGTGGTCTGCACAGAGACAGCGTGGCCCAGGTACAGCACTCGGAGCGATCGAAGCGCTCAGTTCACTGAGCCCCAGCATTATCTGAAAACCTCTTATTCGTCTGAATATAGCAATCTCTGCACAAAGAAGAAATTTCTTCTAAACTCTGATAAGAGGTTATTTAATGGTTGAAATTGTCAAAACTGACTACTGTGATCCTTTTTCCCCTCTGAAGCTATAAAATTCTTAATAATATTTTTGTGATTTGTAACTTGGAAATTACAACTTATATTATTCTTCACCAAATATACAAACTGAGTTTCAAGATTCTCTTTCTTGAGCACATACGGCTCAAATCCATTTTCATAAGCTCTGTGAAAACTAATTCTTGTTTTTGTGACTCTTGAGAAGATAAACCCACCTCCTGAAGCCTCAGAGTTTCTTATAATGCAAAAGAGGCTGTGATTTAACTTTGTCACCAGTCTACCTTTATTAAATGCTGGGATGTCATGGGATCTTTTCCCCA